TTCTCCTGTACAAAAGTTAGCATTCCCATTACCCCTGCCCTGAAGTTGCAGTAAAATCCCTGGAAGCCCATTCATTGACCTTCCTCCAGTTTTCCCTTACTTTAAAAAGCTAAAAGTACCAGGAAGATTTAAACCATTTATCTGGCAGTAGCAACTCTCATTAGAATTAGAACCTCTTTATAATCTTTTAACCACTGGGCAATACACAGAACTTTCATACTTCAAGAAATAGTAAAAAAAATTTCAAGGGGAAATTGTGGGCATTCTGCTTTGCTCAAACAGTTTAAAGGAGTATTTTTTAGTAGCTTTCAAGTTCCAGAGTCAGTAAAAATTCATGATGAAATAGGAATTAACTTTCAGTTTCCAAGGCTGGAGCTACTGGCATTAGATAATATTCCCTTTCATTCCCATCCTATAGCTAATCTATCTCGGAGAACTGTCTCTCAGATTTGCCCCCCTCTCTCCCACACCTTCTGCCCATGTCTACCAGACCCTCATCACTTCACATTTTGTTTCCTGAAAGTTCCCTTGTTCTCCCTGGCTCCCCGTTCTATTACTCATCCTGTTCAACATGCCTGAAAATGTGTTTACTTGTTTAACCGCTTCTTTATACCCTGCTTTGTTCCTACAAGTGGACTAATCATCTCAAACAATTTTTTCAATTCGTCCCTCCCCTGCTTAAGTATTCACTCATTCATTCATTCATTCAACAAATATTCAATGAACACCTATTCCATGTAAGACACTGCACTAGCTCTACAGGAAGTGAACAAAATGGCATCTCAGGGGCTTTATGGTATTGTGGGATTGGTAAACATACACACAAATACAGTAATTATAATAAGACATAAATTTGTATGAGTCAATGAGAGAGAAAAAAGTGATAGTGGGGGTTCAGAATCTGAACTGTCAGCTAGATGTAAAGTGAAATAAGAATTGATATAGAAGAAACAGAATGTGACAGACAAGAGAAAGGATGCTGAGGTCTCCAACCTGAGGGACTAGGACAATAGCAGTGTCATTAACAGGCCTAGGGACATCAGGAGAAAATACGAATGGAAGGGGCATGACAGAAGACTTGGGGACACTAATGTGCTTGCCAAACTCCACATCACAGCACATGATCAGAGATGAGATTTCTGTCCTGCTTTAAGATGGCAGAAGCAGTCTGAGAAATATAGCTTTAACACCAAAATAGCAGAATTGCCAGAACTGATGATTTGAAGGGACAATGGTATAGAGTATAAAAAGTGGAACTATCCCAGAAAAAATCTAGGCCATGCAGCTCCTGTAGGTATGAGGGAATATGGTGGGAAACGAAGGTTACAAATATACAATCTACTGGTCTAAACAGCTATTTCATCTAGGAGAGTTTACATGACTCTGCAAATGTGGGGTTTTAGACTGTTTTTGCACTGTTACAATACTCAGCATCTTAACACATCATGAGGACGTCCTTTCTTGTTGTTGTTGTTGTTTTTTGGCCTACTACACAAGCAGAGAGGGGCCTCCTAATTCAACAGATTCAGGTAATCATAACCATTCCACAGAATTTATGGTGCTATCCATCGTGTCTGGGAACTTCATGTGAAGAGGACTAGCATGCCACTCATTACTTTGCTGCTGGTGATCTTTCTAGGTCTAATTGACAAACCCTGCTTCACAAATGCTGACTTGTCTTGTAGTTGCTAAAAGCACTTACGGGTAGTATATGAGATAGATATCCACTGGCACCACTGGCAAGTCAAGACTAGCAAATACTTTCAAAATAAGAAGCAATGAGATAGCATAGCTGCCTTCAATTCTTTTGGGAGCAAGGCGGGTGGACCTAAAAATAAATCAACATATAACTCTGTGAATATACTAAAAACCATTTAATAATACACTTTTTTAAAGAGACAGCATCTCGCTCTGTTGCCCAGGCTAGAGCGCAGTGGCACAATCATAGCTCACTGCAGCCTCGAATTCTTGGGCTCAAGGGATCCTCCCACCTCAGCCTCCCAAGTTGCTGGGACTACAGGTTCATGCCACCACACCTGGCTAATTATTTTTACAGATGGCATCTCGCTATGCTACCCAGGCTGGTCTCAAACTTCTATCCTCAAGCAATCCTCCCACCTCAACCTCCCAAGTAGCTGAGAAATTATATACTTTATTGGCATAAAGTATGAATTTATGAATTATATCATACATGAATTATATTTTAATAAAACTGTTACGTAAAAAAAAATCTATAAACATGTTTTAACCAAAATGTTAGTTTCTAGAAATGTTATATCCAAGGAACCTAGCTATTGACCTTAAAATATTTATACCGCTGGAAAATTTTATAAAATGTAAACCTTGCGAAATTGGTGTGACAAAACCATTATCATTCTAGCTAAAAAGAAAAAATTGAACAGTCTCTTGTCCTTCACTGTAATAGGAGCTGATCTGTATCACACATCAAAATCTGCCTTTAAGATCTGAATGACATTTTTTAAAAGGGCACTTTTCAGATGTAACGACAATGTTGAATACCATAATTATGGCATGTCACTAACACATCTTTCCTTGTAATCTACCCCAGGACTTCCTTCCCTGTAATCCTCCACAAGGGAAAGATCCTTGTGTTTATCCACTACTTTTAATGATTTCCCTCTTCCCCTAATAATCACTACCCTAGCTTTTATCTCTGGAATCACTGCAACCTTCCCCATGTCTCAACCCATTCCCTAACTTCTACTAATAAATACCATACCAGCTGTCTGCTTGCTGTTGAGATAACAGTAGGTTATTTATGCCTTTGTAGATTCAAAGTGGGTCAAGAATATAAGAAGCAGACTGTAAGCCCCTTGAGAGATGGGACTGTGTCTTGTTCATTGTTAGAACCACCCAACATTAAGCAGAGTACCTGGAACACAGGATGTCAGATAAATATTTATGCCCGCCATTAAGCTAAGGCACATCACAAAAATAATTAACCAACAAATAACCAAGTGACCAGACTATTCTAAGGCATAAGTATATTTAGGAGAAAGCAGGGTAAGTCCCAACTTCAATCCTGATGTCTAAAACAGTTCGTCTTTACAATGACTAAATGGCAAATTTTAAAACAGACTGTGATAAAGCTATGACCGAAGGCCAGAACCTTACAATTTAAAAATCAGAATATCTTTTCAATTTTTTTCTCCCAAATTATCTTGGGAGGAAAAAAGTTGATCCAAAATCCGACGACAGTTTATTATCCAATCAGTCTCTACTTAAGCAGCCTACTATTAGGTAGCTCAAAGATGGACTGCTCGCCACAGAGGGGTAGGGGGAGTTAGTGGCTACACAAAGTAAAGAATGTTTACAGACTGATATTTCCTCAAGTGAAAATACCTAATATTTCTTAGTATCTACCTCATAAGTTTCTTATGAGGATTAAATGAGTTAGTACTTTTAAAACACATAGATCAACAGTACCCGGCACAAAGTTAGCACTATATTAAGTGTTTGTTATAATAATAAAGTAACTTTTAATCAGTTTCCAAATTATATTCATTCATACCTTAGAGATCTACAAAAGCCTAAAGAAATTACTAAGTTTAGAGAGAAGTTCCAACTGTGCAGTTCTTAAATCTAAGGCTTGAAAGAAAGAGGTCCCAGAGAATGCTTAATGAAGCTTCTCATTTCATGGTTGAAGGAATTAATCATATACCTCGTATTTGTAGAGAAATTCATAGGCTACAAAAAGCTTTCACAACTATTATAAAGTTTGATCCTCACAACAGCTTGTACAGAATGCAGGGATATAATTATAATTATAATTCAGTCCATTTACACATGTGGAAACTGAACCAGAGAGGTTAAGTGACTTGCCCAAGGTCACACAGTTAATAAGTGAAAATGTCCAGGCCAGAATCCGTGTCTCTTGATGCCCAGTCCAGATCTCTTTTCTCTATAACATGCTGCAGCTTGATCCCTGGGATTACTTGAGTCATATTTGGAATCAATGATTCCAGGAATCTAAATGAAGATTCTATTACAAGTGCTAACTTGAAAAATTAAGGCAATTCTGTTAACTGGAATTAGAGGTAATCAAGAGTTGGCAAAACGATTACCTACACATGAGCTATAGGATAAAATGCCATGATTACACACATTCACACACTGCCCAAGACCAATTTTCAGAACAGTCTTCGAAGGGACAGTTCTCCAAAATATGCCATTCATGGATTACCAGAGCCTGAGAATATTAGTGTCAGTTTAAAAAAGAAAAGGCTGCCACTTCCCTTAAACTAAACCCAGAAGAAAAAGGCTTGCCCTAGAGGATGGTGAAGACTTGGAGGCTAACAAGGCTCTACGGAATTACACGCAGGTTGCAAACTCCCATCGGCAAATGGGCGAATGAGTGCCGACCATCCCAGCCGGTGAATCAGCTCGCTTTTATCTGGCGGCATCTTCCCCAGGGGCTCAGCCGCCCCAGGGCAGCAATCTGAAACCGGGCAGCTAAAGGTAAAAATCGACTGGGCACCGTCTGCAGGGATTCAAATAACCTCACAGAAAGGTTGGCTGGCGGTAGAAGTGGCACCGCATGCCAACACAGGACGTTATTTTAAGCGCGTGTCCCCATGAGAGACCATCAGATCCACCAGATCATCACCTCCCACCAGCCGGGATTTTTCCTCAGCCAAGCCGGGGGACTAGGCTATCTGGCCCAGGCCAGCCCTACCAAATACACACGGTGGCCCCCTTTCCACGCGTAAATCCGCTCTGCCCCCAGCTCAAGAAGCGTGGCAGGGGGTCCGAGAGACCCCGGAGACAGGCCTCCCTCCGCTGCCTTAATCATCAACGCCCAAAAGAGGAAGGTGCCACAGCGAACGACAGGCGCGCGGGGCCGAGGGTGTTGAAACGCTTGGAAGAGGGGTGCAGGCAGGGCCTGCCCCGGCCCTCGCGCTCCCGCCCCCTCCCCAGCCTGACAGCTGGCGGCGCGGCGCGGGCCCCTCCCCAGGGCGCCGGCCCGCGGGGCGCGTTACCTTTGTGTAGAGCTCCGACGCGGCCATGGCGGGCCCCGCGAGCCGACGCCCCCCGCCTGTGCGGAGGCCGCACCTCGCCTGGGCGGCCGCCCGCGCCGACTAGGAAGCGCCCGGCAGCGCCGGCAGGGAGCGGGGCAGGGCTGGGCCGGGCTGGGCGGGCCGCGCCGGGCGGGGCGGGGTGGGGCGCCTCAGGCGCGGGCGGCCCGCGGGGGCCTCGCCATCACTCTCGGGCTCGCCGCGAGCCGCCGCGAGCGCTCCGCGTGCCCCGGGTCCTCCGGGTCGCCGCCGCCGCCTCAGCCACCTCGGCGGCCCGTGATGCTGCCGCCGCCGCCGCCGCCCTGTGCATTGTGGGAGCGGGAGGAGGCTGTGCCCGAGCGTTGCCACCGCGGCTGCTCCGGGCTCTCTCGGGCTCACGCTGCCTCCCATCGGCTGCGGGCACGGAGCAGCATCAGCCTACCAGCCTGCGCCGCCGCGGCTCAGACACCCGCCCAGGACTCCCACCCCGGGGCGCGGCGCAACGCGGACGCCGCGAGCCCTGCACCGTAAAGAAGAGCCCGACCCGAGGCAGGGGCAGGGGCAGCAGGGCTGTCACTGTGTCCAGGTGAACGACTAGGAGCTGCTAGGCTGCTTCTCCTTCCTCCCAAGCATTTCTAGGAAGCGGATTTAGGGCCGGAAAATAACCTAGAACTCCCGAGTAGCCTTGTCAACAGCAGTGACCTGAAAGCTGGGCAGTGCAGGACCGGGAATTTGAGGTGAAGATGGATCACCAAGGTCACTCCCAACACCTCGGCATCTGCAGCAGTCTCATGATGCCAGAGCTTAGGGGCCGGTTCTAAGCTACAGAAACTTAAGCGACCTTGAAACAAGATACCCCCAGGGGACAGCCCAGGAATCTTTTTCCTAGACCTGTGCGTTTGCAGAGAGGTACAGCTAACCTTCTGTCCCAGCTCTCTTTCCGGTCCTGTTCCCCCCTGGTGATTGTCAGCTTCATGGTGCCACCTGAAAATGCCAAGTCTAAGTGGAAAATCTATACCTGCAATTTAACTCTGTATTGAAACGTCAAAGCCCTCACTCTCCTAGCGGTTATCCCTGCACATCAAGCAGAGTGGTCTTTCTACCCCCAACCCTCCGCTGTCTTCGCCCTCTACCTCCTCCCACCCTCACTTTTGATTCTAGTTGAATAATCCTCATATATATATTTAAATATATATATATATATTAATCCCAGCCTCTTTTTACTGTGCTCACTTATTTCTTTGAACTGTAAGTGGTCCAGTGCCTGTCATGCTAATCTAGGACCATTTCTATGAAGAACAACTCTCACAGCCGGGCTCCTGGTGACGTGTGTGCTGGGGCATGTGTATCTGAAAAAAGACCGTTCACTGAAAGGCAGAAGGGAGAAGGGGCCAGACCTCTCCTCCTCTTGCTCGCTGGCCCACGATCTCCTCAGAAACGCCAGAGGGAATAGCTGCAGAGTCTAAAGGCCTACAGAATTGTCTCTGTTTCTTCCCAGTCTAAAATCAAATTTCTTCCATGTTTCTCGGTCTCACCCTTTCTACACCCATACATAAAAAGAGAACACAGGTATAGTTATGACCAGTGGAACAGAAAGAGCACTGGACTGAGATTTTGGAGGCCTGGCTTCCACCCCTTGCAGTTTCTTCATGCCTTGGGTAAGCTGGTAGCCACTCTGTTTTCTCACCCTTCAGATAATACCTACCTCTGAGGACTTGACCAATGCTGAGTATACTGAGTAAAAAAAGCCAAAATCTGAAAGAGTTCTTAAACGTGTGAATGCTTTTTCTTAATGATGAGAGAAAAGGAAATTGGTACCATCCTTTTATAATTCCTGAACACATGCATTCGACCACTCAAATATTTGGGGCCCTAGTAAGAGGAAGGTAGTGGGGATGAGGAGGAGGAGAAGAGCTGTGTACTCTTGACCTTACCTTACCTCATTCAGAAAAAGAGCAGACTTAAAAGCCAGAAGAAGCAACAGGAAGCCCTGATGGGGGCCTCTTCTGCCTTACATGTATATATTCACAGTCTCAAGCACTTTGTCATTAGTGAAGTATGAAAACCAGCAATAGATACAATTTCCAAGGGATTAGGCTCAAAGAGTAGCTAGAGGACAGTGTATTTTATTTTAAGTTGATAAAGTTCTCAGGTCCCTGGCCTAGAGGAGCCCACTGCAAGGGCGGCTGCCGGGGGAGGGGAAGGGGCAGTCCGTGCTGCATGAGCATATATAGTAGTAATTCTAATTCTGTAAGATTGGCCCAGTTCTAGAGGCAGAAGCAAACTGCTGTGTTACTGGTTATAGTACATTAATTGACATTTACATATCCTAATATTTAATGTTTCGGAGGACTAGGTACTGGGCATACGTGACAGGTGAGTGTGTGGGGAAGAATTCCAAATAGCTCACTGAGAGATCCAAATGGTGATATGATGGGAGATCATTTATGATTGAAGGACATGTAGAGACGCAGCATGAGGATACAAAGCTGTGAAGCAGAAAAACAAAACACGAATAGAGTAAGGCTGACCAAAAAGACTTTTGAAAGATGGGAGACAAGTATCAGGAACTGCTTGGATCGTCCCTCTTCACTGTGCTGACTCCAGCCAGCTATCCCAGCTCCCCTCACCTGTGAGCTTAGGGGGAATTATAAAAAGTACTGTACTTAACTCAAAAGGTACAATATTTAATTCACTTATCAAATAAATAATATATGTGAAAATTTTATATGTAAACTATATTATAAATGTAAACTATTATCATTACTATTATTTGTATTCCCAGTGCCTATTACTCTAATTCTAGAGTCTAATCTTGCGTGTTCCAAAATGTCTGTCTGATCTCTGGTCCTTTGTTTTCCAGTCTTCTAGCCTATGTCCTGACTACCTGCTGTCTGACCAGCTTCTGCAGCTCTATGCCCAGCTCTACAGCACCTGATTCCTTCAATCAGTTGATTTGTCTGGATCTCGAAATACTTCCAGCCCAACTCCGTAGCACTTACCTGCTTTTACATTGCCTTGATCTTCCTGAATTACTCAATTTTATAGTACTTACTAGCCCCTCTCATCCTGTACTTCCAATAACCACAGACACACTTTGCCTTCCATGTGACAATGTTTTGTTTTTCTCCATTGTATGCTGCGATGGGTGGAAGCTCTTAAGTAGTGAAAATGACTTAGATTCAGATGACCTAGATTCTATCCCGGTTCTAACCTGGAGCAAGTCAGGCGAGCTCTTTTTTTTTTTTTTTTTTTAATAACTTTTTTATTTTAGAACAGTTTTAGATTTACAGAAAAATTGCAAAGATAATACAGAGTGGTCCCACATACTCTGTGACCAGTTTCCCCTATCATTCCCCTATCCTATATTAGTATAGTATATATACTTCTTACAATTAATCAACCAATAGTGATTCATTAACTAAACTCCGTACTTTACTCAGGTTTCTGTAGTTTTACCCAACGTCCTTTTTCTGTTTCATGATCGTATCCAGGATACTGCGTTACATTTAGTCATCATGTCTCATTAGGATCTCCCTGGCTGACAGTTTCTCAGGCTTCCCTTGTTTTTGATGACAATTTTGAAGACTTACAGGTCAAGTATTTTGTAGAATGTGGCTCAATTGGGATTTGTCTTGACTAGACTGGGGTTATAGGTTTTTGCGAGGAAGAACACAGAGGTAAAGTACCATTTTCATCACATCATATCAAAGATCATATTATCAACGTGATTTATCCCTATTGATATTGACCTTGATTCTCTGGTTCAGGTAGTGTTTATCAGGTTACTTCACTGTAAAGTTGTTTTTCCCCTCCTGCAAAATTCATATGTTGAAGTCCTAACTCCCGGTACCTTAGAATGTGACTGTACTTAGAGTTAAAATGAGGTCAATGGACTTAATTCAATGTGACTGGTGTCCTTATAAAAAGAGAAGATTAGTGGTGGCAGGGTCTGGGGAAGGGGCAGCAGCGCCCTGTCTGGCCACAAAGATGGCAAGGAAAAGCCCCTGAAACAGCCCAAGAAGCAAGGAAAGGAGAAGGATGAGGAAGATAAGGCGCTCAAGCAGAAACAAAAAGAGGAGCAGAAGAAACTCGGAGCTAAAAGCAAAGGCCATGGGAAGGGTCCCCTGGCCATAGGTGGAATTAAGAAATCTGGCAAAAAGTAAGGTGTTCCTTGTGCATAAGGCGATAGTGACCCTTGATTCCTGTTTAAACATCTGTATTCCCTGCCATAACATCTTTTGCTACCGATAGCTAAAATGAAGTGTCGTCTTGAAGTCTATTGTACATTTAAGAATAAACTTTTGTAAAAAAAAAAAAGAGAGAGAGAGAGAGACAGAGAGACGATTAGGACACAGATATGTACGCAAGGAAGACCGTGTGAACACATAGGGAGAAGATGGCCATCTACAAGCCAGGAAAGAGGCCTCAGAAAAAAACAACTCTGCCAACCTCTTGACCTTGGAATTCTAGCCTCCAGAATTGTAACAAAATAAATTTCTGTTGTTTAAACCACAGCTCTAGCAAATTGATACTACAGTCCCCTTTTCCATACTATACTCTTTTGAAAGAAGTTACTATGTGAAACCCAAACTTAGAGTAAGAAGTTATGCTCCACCTCTTCGAGTTGGCCCTGTGTCCCACATACCCCCACCATTGTGTGTATTTTGTTTTGGATTACTTCCTTACTTTCTAGCACTATGAGATGCTCCAGGCTCATTTTGTATATTTCCTCACCCAATCTTAGAATCAACCATTTCTCTAAGAAGCCTTTCATTGGAGAATGGTATTAGAAACCAAGATTTGGGCCTTATTGCTACTTTTAGGCCCTCTCAGCTACAGAGCAAGGAAATGTGTGTATACTAACCTGTGTATGTACACATATCTGTATGTAGCCACCTATGTCTATATTAAGCTAAAAATGAGTTCACAATGATGTCTCCAACTCTAATTTATTACCACATGGATCATTCCAGCCTCCTCCCCTTGCTTTCACTTTCTGTGAACTCTCACTCCAACAGTAAAAAAACTGACTCTTTTTATTTATGTATATATTAATATTTTTTACAGATAGGGTTTC